TATGCCTGTATATACATAGGTGGTCCCACTTCTCATCCAAGCTCTGGTGTAATAGCGGATCCTCGAAACTTCCACTGCCTTTGCTCTATGGAAGACTTTCTACTTCATTAATTTGAGAGTAGTTGTCCTGTCTCTAAGCTTTTTCTGCATGAATTTCTATGAAGGATCATCAAGAGGGTTTGATTTCTGCCTTCTCTCTTAGGGTTACATTTACAAAGAGCAAGCTGTAGGCCATACATAGACATAACCTAAGCACAATGTCATTCAATAGTTATGTCCCAAATCCTTCTTTCATCTTCGAGAAATGGCTGAAGAAAAGGCCACAGGATCTCCAATAACTACTAATGAGCTCCTGCCTCCCCGTGGGTCGCTTTCGAAACACCGTATCATCCGCATAACTTGGACAAGGAAGGCTCTCTGATCCACATAAATGGACCTCAGGCTGTTCTTGGAGTCACTAGCAGAGAATGCTGTTCATTTTAAAAACTGACTCAAAATCAGGACTTATCTGAAAAGACAGCTTTTCCCAGAACACGGTTTGTAGAGGACAATCAAGAGGAGTGAACTGGCAAGCCAGCCTCACATCAGCCAGGATCAGTCGGCAAGGAGGAGGAGCACAGAGGGCCCGATGGGTCTCCTTTGTCTCCACTAAGTAACTTTACTCCTTATCGTTACACGGTGTTTCTGACTTAGCATATGGCATAATTATTAGTAGCACTATCATGAATACATTAGAATTAACTCATACAGATCCAATTTGTGAGTTTTTCTGATAAAGTTGAACTCTGAAGGAGCGGCATAATCACTTTTGCCTGGCCGAATTAGCATAATGTTACGGAACACTGACCTTTAGGCATGACGTGGCAATTGCCTCTTGAACTCTCAGTGCCTGTGATTATCCTCCAGGACACCTGCATAAGACTGAGGCTGGGCCCACTAATGTGTCTGTCATGGAGCGGGTCAGGGTCTCACACTGCCCCACCCGGCCTTTGAGGATATCTAGACGATTAATAGGTTGCTAGGAGAGAGAAAACCTTTTCCTCGGTCTTGTAGCCACTGGTATATTGATCATGTTACTGCCAATAACCCCTCATTCATACGGCTGGGAGTGGCCTAAGTCAGACTTGAGTGGAGTCATTTCTTTGGTCTGTGGTTGCTGCCCTGACCTGGGGTGAGTAGATGGTTAATTCCCATTTTCCAAAAGAGAAGGTTCATGCAGCACATGGTACTTGGCAGACAGTGGATGTCAAAGAAGAATTTATTAATTTGTCTTCTTAAAAACTGTTCCACGGATATATAGTGTGTACTGAAAGGGAGGTCGGGCACCCAGAATGGGTACAGGATGTACTCAGACACCAAATTCTCATCACAACTCTCCAGAAGGGCAAGTAGGGTGGGGAGAGGCTGCAAACTTAGCAGGAGCAGCAGCAGCAGCAGCAGCAAATACAAGCCAGCAAGAGACGGTGTTTCTGCAGCAGTGGGTTTTTAAGGACAAAAAGGCAGAGTCTGTGCTAGGGTGAGTTGGTAAATCCTGATTGGTTATATTAGCCTAATAATGAATTTTGATGGTTGGACCTTGGTGTTTTGTCTCAGGAATGAGTTGGTGGCCAAATAAGGGAATAGACCTTGGGGGCTGGTGTTAGGAATATAACGGTTTTTATCGAGGGAGAGGAAATGGGATCAAAGGGCAAAACCTGTCCGCAGTGCTTTCCATGCTCAGGCCCGTGTTTGCCGTGCTCGGGCCGTTAGAGCCCCCTCATCACCCTTCCCAGCAGGAGGATTTTCTAAATTTCGTGAAGTTGAATGAAGAAGCATGAAATCAATATTTAAAATAATCATCATATGTGGACACAGTGTCTGTCACAAGACTGATTGTAGCATGTATTAATCCTTCTGTGCTTACCAATGACTCATTAAGCAGATGAGCGTGAGCATAAAGACACCTGTTGGGACCTAGGGGTATTTAAGCACACCAAAGTCCCCAGCAGCCTGAGACAATTTACTGCAGGCTGCAAGCAACATGAAATAAGGGAAAGCATTATTATTCTCATTCAAGAGTTCATTGAGGATATTCAGTAACTGTTAAATGACTGACTGGTAAATGGAGATTTGGGGACTCATTGGAAATCAAGGCGGAATTAACAATGAAAAGAAATTCTGACCAACCCAGAGAAAGTACCTCTGCTATTAAATTCTGTGCAAACATGGAGGTACCCACATGTTTAATTTTGTTTTTGTTTTTGTTTTCCCGGATTGCTTCTATTCCGGTGGGCGGATCCAGAAGCAGGGAAAAGTACAAAGGGTGTCATGTGATTCTCAGAAGTCGTGACATTTTCCTTCAGACTCAGTCAAGCAAAAGAACCAGAAAGACTCAAGAGCTCAGTTTGCACCCATCGATTCCCTAACCTCTGCATAGTTTCTCTTCTCTTGGAACACAGAGGCAGCTTATGGTCTCTACCCCTTCCTGACCAGCTGTACAGAGGTGAGGACACCTGTGAGTCAATGTTGGTGAGAAAACAGACTGTGCATCTCCAGGCTCACTCAGATAACCCACTGCAGTGGCTCAGGGGTCTAGAGTGAAACAGGCTTGTCAAAGGCTTGAAGATCCCCACTCATAGGCTTTCTACCATGAGCAGAGCTGGTTGTGGTGGCACAAGCTGGTAGGATTTGTTGAAGGAGGCAGAGGCAAGAGGATCGCGAGTCTGAGGCCAGCCTGGGCTACCATGCACAGAAAAGGTGATCTGTGTACGTCTTGTCTGGCCACTGGGCTGCTGTCTCTCTCCTTGAGGTTTGGTGGCAATACTCCCTCATGACAAAGGTACTTCCGATGCTTCCCATCAGAACTGGAAAGGTGGGGGCTGGGGATATATGGCTCAGTCAGTAAATGCCTGACTTTTAACCACGAGGACTGGAGTTTGGATTCCTAGCACTCACATTTAGGAAGCAAGGCACAGCACAACATACCTGTCACCCTAGTCCTTCTTAGTGCTGAGATTAAAGGCGTGTGACTTCCCAAGCAAAGGCATGAGATCTCAAGTGCTGGGATTAAAGGTATGTGCCACCACTGCCTCGCTCTGTTTCTCTCTTACACTCAGTCAATCTCAGGTAGTCCAGGTGGCTTTGAACTCACAGAGATCAAGACAGATCTCCACCTCCCAAGTGCTAGAATTTAAGGCATGTGCCACCACTGCCTGGCCTCTGTGTTTAATCTAGTGGCTTGTTCTGTTCTCTGATCTTCAGGCAAATTTTATTAGGGTACACAATATATCACCACAACCCTGTATGAGAAAAAGAAAGTGGAGAACAATAGAAGACACTGGATGTTGACATGTGACCTCAACATGTCTGTGTATATACACATGTACAAAAGCAGGAGCACAAAGTACATAACACAGAGAGAGAGAGAGAGAGAGAGAGAGAGAGAGAGAGAGAGAGAGAGAGAGAGAGAAGATTAAAGCAAAAGGTTCTTGATGTGGCTCTTCCCTTGCATCCTGTTCAGGCAAGGTGGCTCCAGCCAAAGGCAAGGGAGAACTATAGAGCCCAGATCAAGCATATCATTGATGTGTGGTTATTCTTATCAATGCTGGTGCTTGGTTTCCACAGATTCCCAGGTCAGACAATGAGGTGGAGCTCATGGGATCATTATGCTCTCTACATGTTCTCACATGTATATATGCAACACACCTACTCAATGACCCAAACAGCTGCCAATCAACAAACAAACTCTTATAAAGAAAAGCCCCATGAAAATTTTCACATCTTATTAGAGAATCCTGTAAGTGCATCAACCAATGTCCTTGAGGTCTCTAGTTTCTATGATAGTGCCAGGCCCTGTGGGTCAGGGCTTTGGAGAAACTGCTGGTCTTAGATTCTGAGTGCAACATTTAATGTTCATTTGGCTTCTGTGAAAATTACTTAACCTCTCAGTGCGTCCACTGTTTTATCTATAAAGGGAGATAATGCATCTACCTCACAAAAATATCCTTAAAAAGTGGCCTGTTTGAAATAACCCATAGAAGAAGCAAATATTCCCTAAGCCTTGGCTGTGCTGACCTTGGCATCTGAGTGGACTGTAAGAAGAAAAAGATGGGAAAAAATAGTGAGGAGAATCTGTGGTCCTGTGGAAAAAGGAAACATTTTCATTGAGAAATGATTTCAAAAATGAAGGACAGAAAAAAATCCTTGGGCACATAAATGGGAAAGAGACCCAAGGCTGTTTGGTGTCAATTATTTGCAAGAAGAAAGGTCTCTGTACTAGGCAATGAAGTTAAATGTGTTTTGAATGAACATTTAAAACCTTCTGTGATTGAATCAGCCAACCATTACGTTTTAAATTAAGCAAAGCCCTATAGAAAAGATAGACAGCTATCTAGGCAACAAAAATAGAGATTAGAAAACCTGTTAATTTGATTTTCATATAGCCTATTTTATGATTAATATATCTGCAAAGTAGAATGTCTTATCCAAATTTTCATATTAAAAATGGGCCTAGACTAGTTATTCCAAGTAAATAAGCAAGTTCCCCTATAAAAATATATTGTAATTTCATATATGAGCATATAATATAGTAGCATATATAGCTATTTCAAGAAATATAATATAAAACTGTTTCAAAAGAAAGTAAGAAAACAAAGAAGAAATTAAACATTCCTCAAGAAACCGATAATGTTATTAGGCCCAACTGGATTGTATTTATATATTGACCACAAGAATGTTATAAAGAGGTCAAATTCCTCAGCACCTTGTCAAGATTATGAAAAGAATTACTGAATTTTAGAAACATTTAAAATAATTGATCATCACCTCTAATTTCCAAGTTTTAAAACTGAGGCCTACAGAAGAGAGTCAACTTTTCCAAAATTACAGTTCAAATGATTTGTTGGTATGTCTCACAGAAAGAGCTTTTCTCCCACGGCAAGAACAACACAGCATTGCTCGGCTGTGGAATTGGTTTCCTAAGGCTGCCATAACCAATTAACACAAACTGGGTGGCTTCCTACCTCATCGCGGTATAGGCAGGGCTGTCTTCCCTCTGTAACCCCAGGGGAGGCTGTGTCTTCTGTGCTTCCAGAGTCTTCCAGCTTCTGGTAACAGCTGGTACCCCTTGATGTTCACCTCCTATTTCTCAGCCACACGTTCCCATCCATCAGTAACTCTAAATTTCCTCACTTAGAACACCTATGGGACAATAACAACCCAGAATAGGTTTCCTCTCTAGATCCTTCACTGATCACATTTGTCACATAAGGCATTACCCATCCCTCTACTCTGTAAAGCAATAGTCACAGCGCTGGAGGTCAGGATGTGGACAGATCTGAGGGTGCAGGGTAGAGAGGCAGGAGGAACAACACTGAGCCTATCACAGCCTTCAGTAGCAGCAAGCCTACGCGTGTGTCTGAAAGAGAGATGGCACTTTTGAAAGGCTTCAGGGTAAAACTGTAGAGAAGGATTACCTTTTGCCACTTGTCCAACAACTCATTCTTCTTAATTAACTGAGATATGTCACAGAACTCAGGTCACTATTATTATCTAGGACTCAACTTTGGTGTGTGAAGTCAAGTTAAAGAAGGCAAAATGGACATACCCAGTTATCTCTGTGTATTCCTAAAACTCCTCGAAGACAGCTAAGGAACAAACTAGGTCAAAAAAAAAAATTCACACACTATGAAAGAAGGTACACAAGAAAGAAATCCATGAATCGAATTCTGAGAAATGGCAAGCTGATGGACAAGGGGCAACAGATTTAACACAGGATAAACCACCACCCGGAGCTTACAAAGGAAGAAGTCTATAAAAGGAAGATGGATGGGGCTGGTGGGGTGAGTCGGCAGATAAAAGTACCTGCTGCTCTCCAGAGCACAGGTGCTCAGTTCCCAACATGCACATGACTCAAGTTCCAAGAATCAGACCCCTCTGGCTGCCATGAGTATGTGCATGAGCACACACGCGTGCAAACACATACATACACACACATACACACACACGAACACACGGACACGGACACGGACACAGACAAATAAATAATAAGTAAATACTTAAAATCTGTGCATTGATTCTTACCAAAAACATTCAAGGAAAGCTAAGGAACAGAGGTATCATTATTTTCAAAGGCTCAAGTGAGTCATAAAAATGAACTACCCTTTTCCTAACACCTCCAAATGCAAAATTTCTGACAAGTAAAATTGTTTTAGAAAATTTTACTTCATCCAACCTTATTTGCTGTCAAAATATGATCTAAAGTATGTAAGGCTAATTATAATCTTTATTAATCCTCTCTTAGTAAGAATATTCATGTTCCACGGCAGGAAAAAAAATCGATGTGTTTAATTATGGAGACTACTGCAGGTCCCATTAGGTGATGCATCAATTACATATCTTATTATTTTCTAAAATCTAAAAATTAATTCAAATTCTCAAACATGTCTAGCCCTGAGGAGTTTGTATAAGGCATCACGGGACTGTATATAATGAGCCTTTTCCAGCCCCCAATCCCTCCCTTGCCATTCTCTGTCTCAACAAGTAGGGGTGTGCTCTCTAGGGAAAGTGAGTTCTGATCTCTGCGAGGCCTTACACACCAAGGCTTACACGTAGCACCATCCTGAAAACCGAGACAGTAGAACCTAGCTCCCCTGGTGGGCTCACAGGAGCCACAGGCATGTGTTTGAATTGGTGAGTTTTGTACATGTGTCCATTCAGATAAAAGTCAGAGTTCGATGTCCAGCGGTTCTCTTCAATCACTCACCACCTGTTCCTCGGCTTGTTTATTGCTATTGTGTTGAGATAGGGCCTCTTACTAAACCCAGAGCCTATCCGTTCAGCCAGGCTGGCTGGCCAATTAACTTCAAGGATTCTCTCCATCTCTGCCTATCTCACCCCTGCCAGATTATAGATGTTCCGTTTTCAGTGCCTTGATTTTACACAGGCTCTGGAGATCCAAACTCGGTCTCATTCTTGTGTAGCAGGCCTGTCCCGTGTGTCGTGTCCCCCCACCCCCTCCCACCTAAGCCATCCTCAGCTCCTAGTTCTTGGTTTTACGATCTGGTTTGGGGTGTGGTTTTGAGATGAGACCTTGTGTCACCTCCTATCTACCCCCGCCCCCAAGTGCTAGGATTACAGGTTTGTACCACTAATCATGGGGAGTTTCAAAAGTTCCATTCTGTGGCTTCTTGTCACTGTTGCTTTTGAGTGTGCAAGGTCACAGTACATCATGCCAGAAAGACAGGGAACAAAAGAAGGAAAACAGGGTCCTCAAGTCAACAGCCTGACTTCCCCGATGGCCTCACCTCTCAAAATGCTATCACTTCCCAATAGTACTACAGGATGGGTACTAAGGAGGGGCTCTGAGGACACTCAAGACTCAAACGTGCAGCAGCATTCCTATCCAAATGTCACAGGTTTGGGGGCTTTCCCCTGAGCTGGTCAAAAATCAAAGATTTGACACTTGGGGGTTCCCAGGAAGACTGTGGAAACCCCATCTGCTCACCTCCCAGAGTATCTCACTCAAGTGAACAGAACTCTAAGTTGGATTGAATGAAAAGTCAAGAATCATTAGACATCTGAGGGCACAAAAGAATAAGTAAAACCAGTGGGAAAATGAACCCAGGGTAAGAGCGTGTCCAGAGCTGTACTTAATAGTCACAGAAAGATAAAAAATTACATTAATGAAATGAGACCATAATAATTTTACCTTTAAAAATCTTCATAAAATAAAGGGCATGAAATATTTATATTGAACAGAAACATTAGAAATTAAAATTGGTCAAAACAATGGCCAGAAAATTAAGCAAAAAACCAAATACATGAAAAATGATAAAGAATATCAACACACACACAATAGTGAAGCTTAAGACTATAATGGATTTTTTTAAAATCCTGAAGTCTCCCAGATATAACAAATGTGCTAATAACAAATACATAATTTGTGATTATAATAATTGTAATTCTAACAGTTGCATCATTGAGAACTAGGAGATACTTAACCAGCCTTCAAAATTCTATGGGAAATTAATCTCCATACATTTGTATATTATGTACTAATTTAATCAATAGTATATAGATATTAATATTTTTAAAATATTGTGTTCCTGATGGCTACTGATAGTACATACTTCAAGAAAGCAGATAATAAAGAAAAGACATGAATAAATAAAACAGGACACTCAACTCAAACAAAAAGAAGTTGGTATTTCAAAGAAAATACAACTTATACATAACAGTGTTATTCTAAGCACAGGTTTGCTGAGTGCCTGTTCTGAATCGAAGGACGATAAAGTGCTTAACTACATGAAAAGGCTACCAGAACAAGTAAACAAAAGAAGCAGTTATCACAGCCAGCACAAAGCAATTGGCACAAGAAAAGAAATGGGGTAGCCCCAGCCCCCCAGGTGGCTTAGCCATGCATCATGCGTACACATCACTAATATGAATATCAAATCAAAAATGGCTAACACAGCCGCACTAGAAGAGGAGAGAATTATGGGGTAAATGAAGAGGATGATGGGTTAATATGAGGCAATGAAATGTTCATTTTCCAGATTCGGGTCAAAAGATACTACCTAAAGTTTAAAACTCAAGAAATGAGCTATTTATGCTTGATACTTAGAAATAAGGAGAGAGATGTGGGAAGAAGCCATGGGCTCTGACTCAGAGAAATGGCAGTTGCTGGACCAGAGCAGAGGCCAGCATCATCTGTTATGAACCAATGGCTTTTTGTAATACCTTAATGTGATACAAAATAAAAATCTGATTTTACTAGTGTCTCATTGATTACTAGTAAATAAATAATTCATAATTTTTATCTGTGAACATTTACTGTTTTCCTTATCCTCTATTTTCCATCAAAATGGTATTTTTTTAATTGACCAAATCAGTCTTTATAGCTCAAATCATGTCTTCTCTTTAAGAACAGTAAGTGATCAAACTCATTGGGCACTTACATTCTTCCCAGCTTATTTCCCAACTCTCACTTTGCAGATAATTGTGGACCAGTAGCTGCACAGTCTGGTTCAGGCATGGTTTATTTTGCTCCTTCGATGTTCAAATATTGGTCATTCACAGATCTTTTATTGGGGTCTTGATATCTTCTTTATCGTTTTTGGCCTTTGGGGGCTTTTCTTTTTGTTTGTGTTTGGTTTTGTCTTTAGTTTTTGTCTTTAGTTTCTGCCCCTATGATATGGCTCATACTCTTGAAGTCTGCACGTTAATCGTGGGGTGTTAGCTCAGCAGCTCAATGGCATGATTGGGACCCTGCAGAATCCACACCATGTTTACAGAGCCTTCCTCCCATCACATGTGGGCTGCACAGCTGCCAACCTACAGAATAACCTTAGGCTTCCCAAGCAGGGAGACTGATGAAGTCAAAAAGATTTCTTCTTCCAAGCGGTTTTCTTATAGGGATGCTTAACATTGTCTTCGCTAAAACTGGGTCACATGACCAGTCAAGGCCCCTCTGATACCCAAAAGATCTCCATGAACTAGTTGTGACTTATCTTCTAGGGCAGAATACAGTGCTTATCTCTCTCTCTCTCACACACACACACACACACACACACACACACACACACCTAGGGCAGAATACAGTGCTTATCACACACACACACCCCTGGGAAAAAATAGACAAGCTCGTATGGAAAGCTGGTGAAGTCTTGAGTGGATGCATATTGTTTCCATTAGCATGACCCTGTCAAGGATGCCAATGCATTAGACTCATGGGAATGGCAAAGCCCTCCCTGGGTCTGGCTCAGGGGAATGGCAAAAGCATCCCCTTTGAACACAAATGTTGACGGACAGTTGACTAGCACCTGAAAGCAGTACATGCACAAAGTACCATCCGCAGTTCCTCATCCAGGATGAATGCTTTGGAGAGACTGCCACACTACAGAGATCCCCTGTCAAGACTGGCAAAGCTGCCGCCTCCTCCACTGGATATAACAAAAGAGCTAAGTGTCGGGACTGCTGGTGTGTCTCCATGCAAGCCCATGGCCTACCGGATCCCACCTTCTCCTTGCTTATGTCTGTCTTTAATTTCCTTTCACTTCCAGTCAGGTTTACAGGCCCAGCCTGCAAGCCATGGCAAAATGGAATGTATTTGTTCTTTTGTTTTATTTGCATTTTTGATTTGTCAGAGCCATTCTCTTCCTCTGACCTACAGTAAGGTCCTTAATAGAATTTGTACATGAGAGGAATGTTGCTCTCTGCAGGCACAAATGTTGCATATGACTAGCAGGTAATCTTTTTTATTTTGCTTGGTTTTTAATGTAAAATCAGTTTGAAAGACAAGACCCTGGATGGATTGATTTATCACGACATTTGAGAGTGAATTTCTTAGTTTGTGACATGTAAGCAGCTAAAAACACAAAAGCAAACTTTACACCTCGAAACACAAAAGATGTTTTAAGCTAAAAGCTTTAAGAGGAGAGTGGTGTATTTCAGGGTTTGCCATATACATTCTAATAAAGATTCTCAAAACTGAAGTTCACCAAGTGAACTTTCTATCTTTGCTTTGTTTTTGGTGTGTCGATGTAGGTTAAGTTGAATTGAAGTACAGAGTTACCGAGTCAAACGGCAATCTGGGCATTGCTTTGAAGGCATTTGTGCATTAATGGAAGCCCCTCACCAGTTGAGCAATTAGGCCTATTACCTTTCACAATCTGGGTAGACATGATCTGAGTAGCAGGAAGAAATTAAGAGCAAGATTAAGTTTCAGGCAGAGAAAAGAAATTCTCCCTGCGCATAGCTTCTACCCATACGTGTACACTGAGTTTCCCTCTCCCATCACTATCCAGGGACTTGTTTAACCAGCTCTCATAATGGCAAAGTCAGGTCTTTGTGATACGTCTTCCTCCATCTCTTCTTTAATACCCTCTTTCCCTTTTCATCCTCCCCCATCAACCATGTAGCCGCCTTTCATCAATTCATTCACCTAACTACCTATCTACCTTAATACTTACCATCCATTTATCATCCATCTGTCATCTATCATCTATCTACCTATTATCTATCATCTATCTATCAATCATGGAGCATCTCACTGATCTCGCTTCTCTAGTTGAATGTTGACAATATCACTTAAACTACTTCAGACAGGACCATCTTCTGGTTTAATATTATTCCTTCTTCACCTTAATATTTCTTTTCCATTCCTTATTTCTTATTTTTATTCATCTGTTTTGGGTGGAAGGTGAGGGTACCATGTGACTCGTCATTTGTGTGTGTGTGTGTGTGTGTGTGTGTGTGTGTGTGTGTGTGTGTATGCCTGTGCACTCGCGCACAGGTCAGAGGACAACTTGGAGGCGTCAGTTCTCTCCTGCCACCAGGTGAGCTTTGGGACCAGCCTCAGGTCTGCAGGCATGATGACAAGCACCTTTACGTGCTGAGCCATCTTGCCGACTCTACACTCACATCACTCTAATTCTTTCTCTCTTAAAATTATGCTATTCTATACAATATAGATAAAGAATAAATGGTTCTGTGCTCCAGTATCTACAAACCACAAGACACCAGTTCTCGAGAAGGAAACTTCTTGCCAGTCTGGCTAATGCAGTAGAAAATTGAGGAATGGTTGTGTTAGGGAGAAACTAGGACAGAGTTCGAAGGTGAGGCCATGCATTCACAAGATGAAAAAGAATTCATGTTGACATTTTGACAAAATAAATACATCTCAAACATCCACTGGTCCAGGGTGTTTTGAGTCCTGCATGAGGCTGTTGACACAGTGGGAGAAGGAAACAAGAGTCCAAGGCTAATTCAGTCCAGCTCCTGTCTTTAAACAGAGGCCAAATAATAGTGCTTGTATTTCTTTGAAAACAAAAGTTTAACTGTCTTAGATGTGATAAGATTCAAGACCATTTTCTATGACATTTCTTCACTCTTTATTGCTCATTTGAAAGAGAACACAATGGACCTCAGAAATTATCCTTTCCTATGGATCCATCTCAGGTAGTATTTTCAGACCAAAATCATCAAAGTAGCACAGGTTTTTTAGGTAGGATATCTGGAATTGAAAACAAATTTTGTAAAAGAATGCTCCTTATCTCTCTTCTCTGTTTTTTCCCTTTCTCTCACTGAATATCATTTGTTAGACTCATTATTTTCTATCTCTATTACTAGCATATAAATTGTAGGCCAGAGTTTGTGTATGAACTTCAGTGTATTCCAGAAGTGAGCATAATGTGTGGCATGTGGTGGATGCTATTGAATAGTACATCTATTGTTCCTGAGTCTGTAATACAGGCATAATGATAGTATCCAACCTCCCAGCTTATAATTATAAGGAAAAGACATTTTGTATGATATTCTCAAAAATCCTAGTCAACATGAACTACAGCTTTGCATGTGGGCGTCAATAGCTGCTTCCAAACAGATTGTATGTGACATAGAGAAATATGGGGCAGAAATCAAACATTAATCAGTTTTGCTTTTCCTCCGACTCTACTGTTCTGTTCTCAATGTATTGAATTCCTGATCAGGGGTATTGTCTTGGATTGTGAGTTACTGAAGTACTGTTTGTTCCAACCAAGTCCCACACCAAATAGGATCTGAAGTAGAGCCTTTTGGTGGTTTACCATTTAGTTGAACCAGACAGCTGGTCAACAAATGGGATGATTATTGCCTTCCATGATGCTGGAGATGGTAAAATATTAAAAATAGATATGACATTTTCCAGTAATTAATATCAACAAACATTTCAGATTTACAGCCTGAGTACTCTTCATTGTGTTTGGCAGTCTGCCCTCTTCTTTGTTCAGTGGAACTGAAGAGAAAATAGATAGGCATTCTGTAATCAAACACTGAATGGAACTCTCACATAAACTCCTTTGAGTATTCACCTTGACCCCTGAGACCAAGGAGCAAAAACTTGCCAGGCCACATTCTTTAGTACTCTGCCATGGAAAATGAATGATCCAAAGTTAAATAAAATAGGATCGTGTATGAAATCCATGGAGACACCCACGGGAACCTCAGCACTGGCTGTACCTGAGTAACAGGTTCATCCGATATGGTTGTTGATGTTCCCCTGTTTTCTGCAGTGACCATGCATTATTCATACTCTGATAATCAAAAGAATAAGAAGGTTTTTGTTTCTTTGACATGGTATTTTAGATCTTAGAGGTAATAGGAATTTTACAAGTGTTGGTGAATCTTATTTTCATTAACTGAAGAGAATTGGGGGGGGAGAGATAAAAAGATAAGGGCAGTTTGAAACATGAAAACAGGTAAATGTGGGTCATGCAAAAAATACATAGTCAAAAGTCCACTAAGCAAACCCCTTGGCAGCAGAGTTAACTTAAAGCATTTATAAGCATCTTCTCTTATCCCTTCTGATATTTTTCTGTAAACACCAAGATATCATTGTTTTCACGGGCTGCCAAGCTGTTGGCAGGGGACAAACCCGAAACACATTTTTTACTACTAATATTTTACTTTAAAACACCATTGATCTTAAGCTACCGCCCCAATTGCAAATTGGGGGCTTTTTGAGTAATTTATAGGGAAAAACTATGAAGTATATCTTTGAAATGAAATGAAATAATACCTGCACTTCCTACTTTGGGGAAATTTTATGTTAAAACACCCCGACAGGCAGAGGTGACAAAACGTTGAGAAATATTTAGAGATTTCATTTCTCTTCCTGATAACGACAAGGTTGATGTTGTGCTCTCGGAGGGGAAATCATATCTGATTTACCATCGGCTGCCTCGGTACCACCAGCCACATTTCACGTTCCTTAAACAGCCACAGCTCGGTGATGCTGACTACCCTTTATGGTGGGGTTGATCAACTGCCCAAGGCCTGACGAATGCCGTGGAACACTTTCATTCTCTGCTACCTGTTTCTTTATCTGGATAAAGCAGGATGTACAGCAAGAGGCAAACTGTCATAATTTTATTGGCGAAAGAAGGCTGATTTACACCACCTCGCTTCTTCTCGGTGCAAGAGCTAAAAGCATCAGGGAAAGAGGCCGTCTGGAGTGAGTCTCCCTCTTCCCTTCCTCTTGCTCCTCTGCTTTGCCTTTTCCAAGCAGAGGAACAGCTCACTCCCTGCCGCGGCTCTACCTGAGGAATGTTTAGGTCAGATTCTCAAGGAAGCCCGAGATAGCATAAGAAAAGTAACCCTGACTGGCCTTACCTAAATAACCCACAAATCCCTATTCTGCTCATGAATCCCAAGCAGACCTACAGTGAGTTGAGGGGAAGCCTTAGCGAACAGGCTGTGTATTTAAATGTTCAGCAGGGAGGAATTTAAATGTTCAGCCATTCTACAAAGCTCACAAGTGGAGTGAGATGTCAAGATGGAATTACTGTTTAGAGAAAAGAATTTATTGTTTTCAGTTTTCATCTCCAGCTGGATCTGAAAGTCATGGTACATGCTTTAAAAAAAAAATGAATGAAAAACTAGGCATGTCCCTCCTCAGTCCTCCCCTCTCCTGCGCATGCTCAACTCAACACTTCAGCTCCTCTGAGTTTTACTCTGTGGAAACTTCTAAGTCGAGATGCTAAGATATGGAAACAAATGAGGAAGGATAAAGGCAACCTACTGTGTTAGTGAAGACATACCAAGATAAAGGTTGTGGCTACCCATTAGTGTTTTCCTGATGGATAACTGAAGGCAGGACAGAGAAAAGCGTTTGGAGAAACAGGATAGACACACAAGGAAACTGAATTTGTCACTGAAAAGAAGGGACAATCGGTGTGATAGATGCTCCTTCCAATCCGAGTCAAAATTAATTGCCTATCCCCCCTCCCTCCTGAAGCATAACTTTTGAAAGAAAGGTCTCTACCAAATTTACTCTGCCTTGCCATTGACAATGGTTATTTCTCTTCAGAAGCGTGCATTCCCCAACCAACTTGGCACCTCTGCCGTCTATTGAAGACCTAGCTAATGTACCTAGTCATCAGTTAAGCAACTTAGTGTTGTTACTAGACCACCGCTGAGTGTCAAACTTTAAAATCTGACTACCTCTCCTTACCTTGGAATTCCTATACACATGGAGCAAAGCATGTCTATTCAAATGAGCTCTGTAAAAGAAAAGAAAAGAAAAAGAAACCGTAAAAAACTGGGTTGACGTGTAGACAAACTAATGTTTACCACAAAGACTGTTGTGTTGTCACGGGCCTGCCTATTTACCGCTGGAAAGAATTAGAAGTTGCTATTGTAAAGAAAAATGGAAGCATTCTCATTTTAAAATATGCAAAGGGGCGTTCAATGGATTTGACAGATTGATCACTGGATTCTTCTTAAGCCCTTGATACTTGGTTCATGGGTTTTCAAGTATTCTGACTTTTTTCTCTCATTACTAGACCACAGCTCTGGTAATGTCTTTCCCTCCTTCCTCGAGTTTTTCAATTTCTGAACCCCATTCTTACAGCGGGTGTTACCATGAATATGCCAGGAACATGATTATTTACAGGAAGATATTTGTCTATTATTTATAGTCTCTCTCTCTTTCCCCACCGCCATCATCCTAGGAGCTGGTAGTTTCTGAAAGAGATCTTCATCTTGCTGCACAGGGTCACTATGAATGACGGGAAATAAAGGACAGCTGAACTTACACACAGAAATAAAGATTCTTTTGTGGAAGATGAGGTGAGGGAAGCAGAGAGGGTGAAGATAAAGGACATAGGACGAAATGAAAGGGATGAGGTGGCTGTGTTGAGAAGGAACCTTGGGAAAAGCATTGAAATATTGAAAAGGAGTTAGAAGTTTGGGTGTGGGCTGTGTCTTACCTGGCTTGTGTTTACAAGACCTTGTTTAGTTCCATATTCATCAGTATTTCCAAAGCTGGGAGGTTTGGGTGGCTTTTGTTTGTGTTCATCCCTCTATGACTTTCAAAGACATGTTAATTTTGATCTCTTTCCTCTGTAGAAAAGAACAAAACGATCACAGTATCACAACTGCTGTGTCCTGTAAGACCCATGTGCTCAGCTTCCTGCTAGAATGCTTTCTTCCCATGCCAACCTTGGGCATCTCAGACTCAACCTGCCCACACCTAAACTCAAAATTCTGCATCTTGTCTCCCAATTCCTTCTCAAAAATGACAGCACCACCCACCTACTTGTATCTGTCATGAATATTGAAGGACAGCCCTGTCTTTTCTCTGTGTGTATGTCTCAGTGCAGCCACCATGTTCTGGTTCTTTAATACCTCTCAGTGTCTCTTTCTCCACTTTCTCCATCATAGTCCTGCCTTAAGAACCATAGTCCTTTTGGAACAATTGCTAAACCTTCTAGACTTTACCTCCTTTCAATCAGAGTAATCATTAAATAAGACAAACAGGTAAGAGCGGCTACCATTCCATTTTTACGGACAAGGGTTTTCAGGCTTGCTTTCCACCCATTTTCAGAATCCTCTCTTCCTTCCTCTCTTGTTAAGCTCATGATTGATCCCTGTTTCATTTCTCCAAAGAGGTAAGTCTCCCCCTGCTCCTGTACATGCTGTTCACTCTAAGTAAAAGCCCAGCCCCAACTCAACCCCAGTTTACCTTGCTTACCTTTTCTTCTACCCACTCTTCCATTTCAGACTTACATTTGGAAAGCCACCTCTTCAGGAAAGTGCCCATCCCTGACCCCCCTGCCCCACCCCCATCCATCCAAGACTGTTATTTCTCCTCATTAGCATCTCTCCCTGTATAGTCTACATTTTTCTGACAGAATTTATTTCATCTATAATTAAATAACCTTTTCTATAATTATTAATGTCTGTTTCCATGGTGGACTCTCAATTATGACTCATAATGTTAATGTTAATATTATTAGAATTATGCTGGTGAATTGCTAATTGTTTAGAGATGGATAGACAGTCATTTCTGAGATTGCTATTTCTGTGATAGAATCTTTTAAGGCTAAAACATTAAAAATTAAAAGTTCTCTATGTAAATCATACTTATATTTGACATTTCTATTTCTCTGTTTATGCTAGGAGAAAGATTATAAGACACCCAGTGAAACTAGAAACTAAGATTAAGATGTGTACTAGACTAAAATAAAAAATCTGGGACTGTCAAGGGAATGGTGCTTTTTCTTCAAAGAGCATGTCAATCACTTACAAGGACAAGATCTCACATCTCCAAACTCAGCACTTGCACCTATAGAGAGAAAGAAACCCTAGTCATTTCAATTCAGATATCATCCTCATTGCTGAGAGAGCTCACAAATGGAGTTCATTAGTGCCACGTGGGATGACAGGGTTCTGGTTCCATCATCATATCTGCTAATAAATGAGCTGATGAGTCAAATTCCCTAAAATCTCTCTTCGTCTAGAATATATTGTAAAATATCAAAGTCGAGGTGATGATGTGCTTCACGGTATTTCAGATGTAATAAAGCTTAAATCTCTCACTGAAAAATGGAAAGTATGTGAAGTGAGCTATCTTTTTAACACAAAATATTTGGGGGGCTAATAACCCATGGCATACTGCTCATCAACATGGACCAAGAAAAAAGGCATTTTTCAAGTCAACCTGACTCTATTATCACCAGTACAGCCTCTCTTTGCCTCCAAGAGAATCAGGACAAGCAGGTATCTCCCCGGACACTTCCTGTGTCTTTCACTGGAAAGCTAGTTCATCCCTTTCCTCCATTTAATGGCTGTTATGTGTGTTGTCTAATCTTTTCTTTGATAGGAATTTAGTGTATGTTCAACAAATGTTTATGGCATATATTGCTTCAGACTGCCAAAAATTGGAATAGAAGGGGAATAGTCACAGCTTTAAAACTACATAGCAAGTTTGATGTGCTTAATGTCCATCCACCCATATACACAAAACTAACAGACCACTAATTTTAAAAATACAAGCTTCTGATATAGGTCTTCTGGTGAGTATTAAGTGAATTTCATAATAAACTAAAAGTCAAAACTTCATAAAAGATGATGAGTTTACCTATACTTACACCTATCGATTATTTAAATGACTGGACTGTGAGGAGAAAAAGATAACAAATGGCTGGTGTTTGGGAGCAGGAAGGGAAAATACTGGGGAAATAGGGACATATTAAGAAATATCTCACATACCAGAATGAGAACCTGGGAGCAGCACCAGCAGGGATGAGGCATGGCTACACATTTAGGCTGACACATGGTTCAGTTGGTAGAGTGACTGCCTAGCAGGCATAAGGCCTTGGGTGTGGGTTTGATCCCTAGAATAATATAAACTAGGCATGGTGGCACACATCTGCAATCCCAGCACCAGCGAGGTAGAGGCAGAAAGATCAGACGTGCAAGCTACAGAGTGAGTCTGAAGACGGCCTGGGATACATGAGACCCTGTCTCAAAAAATAGTGGGGAATACTGTATTTTTTAAGCAGCGTGACATAATAAAAATGATGCCACAAAGATTCATGGATTAAGGAACAGATTTGCCAATGCTATTAAAAAATGTTGATGTCTAAAATGATCAAAACATTGATTGGCTTATATAAACTGGGAATAAATATCATAAAATAGCAAAGAATACTGAAAAATGAGAATCTATTTCCATGACAAATGTACTGTGATCTTGGGGAAGACAGATTATAAAGATTAAAATTACTTGAATATAATCATACTTAGAATAGAAAAGAATGGCATTTTAGATACAAACATTAAAAAAATGGAGGAGCTAGAGGGCTGAGTGATTAAGAGTGGTGCTTCTCTTGTAGAGAACCCAGGTTTGATTCCATCATGGTGGCTCACAACTACATATAACTCCAGTTCCATGGACTCCAACATACTCTTGGGCTCCTGCATGAATGTGGTAAGCATAAATACATAGGCACACACATCTACACATTAAATACATAAACAAAAAATAAAGAATAAATATTTTTTAAACTGAAGGGACCTAACCACTTTCGAAATGTTTGAAGCAGGGATGCCCCTAGTATCTATGGAATCCCAGTCCTCAGTAAGGTTCAGGAGTCATTTGTTTTATTTCTACCAGAGGTGAGAACACTTTCCATGATGCTAGAAATCCCTTTCCATGTTGATTTGACATTTACCCTTCTGTAGCTTAGATGTAGTTTATATTGAAAAGGTCCATATTTTCCTTTCTGGAACAACATCGAACAAAAATATGTTCAGAACCCTTTCATGTGATGATTCTTCAAATACTGTGAAAGTCATTGAATCATTTTATTGTAGCTCTTAAATAATCTATTATTTACAGCATATGAAGCTCATTAACAAAATTAATAAATGCCTGTGTTATTAATGAGCATTACTAAAGCATCACAAATATCTCCCGATAGATTTACTAATGCTATTTCAGTCTTACAGTCAGATTTATGGCTTTCTCTTGTTTAAAAAAAATACAGACAACTTTCTTTCCCTGAGAGCAAAGAATATAAAATCACTATTCTACATCAAAATGTCCCAAATTTAATGAAAACCAGGAACAGAAAGTCTAAGGACCTGTGGTCAGGCTCCTAACTTGAAAGAATAAATTAAGAAGCATCCAATTCAATTTTCCCAAAGATTGTGATTTTCTATTTGTATGTGCTACAAATTTGGCAGGCTATACAGATTTAGAAAAAATTATTATTATTTTTCCAATACTTTCAAAAATGTATTTGCTTCTAAACCTTTGGGTGCATTCAGGTAAAAGAAAAAAATCTATTTACGTATCCATTATCTCTGGGTAGAAGCCGAGTTTGATGAACGCTCCACATAGCTAACAAATGTTTGCCTGCCCAGATGGCTTTTGCTCTAGCATTATGCCTCAGAAAATAAATTATTACTATTATTTATGCTCATCATAAACTATGTCTGCATAACAAGTTTCTCAGAGGACTTGAAACTAGTTTTTGCTGATTCTACAGCACGTCTCATTTGTAAAAGTCAGAAAACTGTACCTTTGTTGTTCCAAGTGAGAAAATGTGTTCAAAAGGTGCACGGATGCATGGAAGTGAAAGTGAGTGTTCAGTGTACCCATGCGTAGAGACACTCATGAATCAACACTCTGGAATATGGAAAGCCATCCAGTGTCAGCTGTGCTTATAAAATAAAATTATTAGAAACTTTAAAACTACCAAGTACTGTATGTACCTGCTGTGAGGCCAAAATTTCTTTCCATAGAAGAAAGAGCCTATCCCCAAAGATAAGATTTCAAAGTAAGAAATAACTTTAGACTCTTATAGGAAAGAACATAATGACTTGTTTAGGGAAAGCAGTTGCTAAATTATAGTATGAGAAATAAAGAAAGTTGTGTTTTATCCCTCATTCTGCAACCAACCCAAAGCTAGTTATTTATCCCACCTGTAAAATGCAATAAACCTGCACTCTACAATCCTGTCCCAGAAGGATAGGTGGGGATTAATCTCCTGGAGGTGTCTGGAGTTTCACAAATGTTGTGGTGATATACAAATTGTGGTACCTTCATTTTGCTTTTATAACACATTCATGGTCCTAACACACTGGAGGGTACCTTAGTTGTCCAGGCAGTTCATCAACACGCACTCAACACCCCTCTTCAGCATCTCCTGAGGACTAGCTGAAAACCAAGCTAAAAATACTGTTCAGTGATTGCACATTAAATCACACAAGGTTGAGATACCCAAGGTCTCAATTTACTTTTGTAATACAAAATTAACCTTGTAGGTGCAAAATTACAGTATTATTTTATAATTATAGCTGTGGTCTCTATATTTATGAGATATTACAAAATACCTGACCTTCCCAATACTGGTTAGCTAATTATTTTGTATCCAGCTAGAACAAGTTCATTAAACTTGAGTCTCAGTGGAAGTGTGGCTAATGCTTCATCTTACCAGGTTCCATTGTCATTATTCGTGGCGTATTAATTAAATTTAGTATTCAAGCATGAATTCAGAATCTAAAAGACCTGGCCAAGTGCACCCAAGTGACTATTTGTTGTTTACAGCATCAGATACATTATGTAAAAGGGCTATAAATAACTTGATATTTATCTGTGTGTTGTCATTTTATCTCCTTTACTAGACCTTAAGCTATTTCAGGGAAGCAAAATTTAGGGTTTATTTTTATATATGAGTTTCTAAACATGGCTCTGAAGAAAATACTCTGTAAATGGGAAACAGATAATATATGTTGGCTTGAACAATTCTAGGTTAAAATAAAAGATGCATATTTGTATTAGTTAGTAAAGGGCTTTCAGACATCAGTCATATTCTTTTTCATATGCATTTCAACCAATTATAAGCCTAAAATGTTCTGTACAATGAAACTGTATTTATTTGCCTTTTAGCTTTACAGTCACTTCTTAAGGAGTACACCATAATGTACAAGCATGTGATGTTGTACACTATCAAATAATTCAATCTCATTAAAATGCATAGAGTTGAGGTATGGAGTCCTTAATTACAAAAGGTTGAGAATAATATAGAAATCATCCTTTCTTACTCTTGGATTTCAAACATGCATAATGATAAGAAACACTTCAATGTTCAAATGTGCAAAAAATTAACTAACTTAAAACTGATGGTTGAAACTTACTTTCTAAGTATAAAGCTAAGAAAACTACTCCTGACCTTTATAATACCCTTCTTGTGATTGTTCTCAACCTGAAACTTCATACTTTCTACTTCTTTCCTTTACTATATAAAAATGCAAGGACCATTTGCTTGCCACTATTTCTGTGAGTAGAACTCATAGCAAGCCAGTGTTATTAATATGAAAGTTTTAATTTAAGAATTTTAATATACATCACAGAAATCCTTTTGATAAAATAGGAAAATTCAAGGCTCACTTATTAAGACATGGCTATGAAATTAACTTCGCTTATTCTGAAAGAATTTCCATCTTAACCATATATATTCCATATTCTTTCATAAGATTGATGCAGGGCCAATTTGACATTACTCAAGTGTGCTTCAATGCTAGTTTAATTTCCACTAAGAATAGTAAAATAATATGTTTCATTTCTGCTAAGAATGGAAAAAATATGAGACAGTGGAAGAAATGCAAATGAAATATGAAAGTTGAACTTCAAGAACTTAAAAGTAAACTTATAGAAACTATACTCAGACTCACACCATGAATAAGAATTATTAACAATAACAAGTCAATAAACACAAACCATAGAACACTGACTCTACTCATGGAATGTGCAAGTCCTTCCAATCAAAAACCCTA